TATGTCCTCTGCTTCCCCTGTAACCACCTCTTCCCTCTGCCCCCTCCCTCCCTCCCTCAGCTCCGGCCACACCAGCCCCCTCACTGTCCTCACCCTTACCAAAGACCTTCTTGCCTCAGGGCCTTTGCACCTGCTGTGCCAACTGCCAAAAGCGCCCTTCCCCCTATGTTCCTTCACAGACCCCACCGCGTCCTTCAGCTCCCAGCTCACATGGCCCTCCCTGACCTCCCTGGTCACTCCCTCCCCTCTTGCCCTACTTTATTTTTTTATAGCAGTTGTCTGTCCCTGACGTGATACGACTTATCGGTTTTTCGATTAGCGTTCATCTCCCTCCAATGGGATGAAGCCCAACAAGGAAAGCGATGTTGCCCGTATCCCCAGCGCAGCCTGGCAGATAGTCGGTGCTCGATAAATATTTGTGAAATGATTGAGGGACGAGGAAAAACCCGGGTGAATGAGGTGAGAGGACAGAAGCGGGGGATGGGTGTCCAGACAAAGGGCAAAGCCGCGCTAAAGGGCTGAGGCTCCTCAGATCCACCCGCCGGCCCGCCCCTGCATGGTAGCCCCAGTGCTCTTCCCGGGGGTGAGGATTTTAGGGGACCTGGGGTCCTTTCTCCCCAAGGACAGCCTCCCCCGGACCAAGCCCAGACCTTGCCAGGCGGGCACAGGAAGCCACACCTTGAGGTCAGGTCCCTGAGTAAATATTGCCGCACCCTGGGCCTCCTCTCACCAGATAAGGGGAGGGAAGGGGGTCAGAAACCCGCTTTGGCCTCTCGCTGAGGGATTAGCTCCAGCCCCTCAGCTCCAAGGTCTCTGCCAGGGGAAGGAGAGGACAAGGGTCTTGCCACAAGGGGCCCAGGCTAGTTTCCATCTAGCAAATACTGATTAGGTCCGCGGTGGGTGGGGTCTCCATGAAGGACAGGGCCCAGGGCCGGCTCCCTAGGGAACTTAGTGACGTGGCTGGTCAGATAAGAGGGCTTGGGGTGGGGGTGGGGGGTGGAAGTGAGCTGACAAGACCTGAGAACCTTGTCCCCAGCCTGCTGTGATAAGACGCACCCACTCCAGCCTCCTGAGGCAATGGCCTTGAGCCTCAGTTTCCCGGTCTGCAAAATGGATCCTCAGCGGGGAGGGAGGGGGCTGCAGGACAAGGGAACGGGTAAGGCCAACGCTGTCAACCTGAATAAGGGCCTCTCTGTAAAA